CTTGCATTCCAGAATTACAGATACAATTATCCACCGAAAGGGAACTACAACTACGACAGAAAACTGCCCTACAACAATCAGTACTTGTCAGAACAAACTCATTATGTCCACGAATAATGGACTTGCCGAAAAAGTCTCCCATTCAAACTATCACTAATAGAGTAACCTCATTCATCTTTGCCAACATACAAGGACTGAAAACAAGAACAAACAACAAAGTACAGTTCATAAATGGCCTCCTCACGGAGTCAAATGCAGTATTTGGAGCTTTCACAGAAACCCATGCAGGGGAATTGTTGGACAGTGAGATCTGGATTCCAGGATATAACCTATACAGGTGTGATAGGAAAATTAGGTCACATGGAGGAGTGGGTCTGTATATTAGGGAAGACCTTGTATGCTCGGAGCTCCTAAATGTTACAAATGAGGTGGTAGAGGTACTGGGATTAAAAATAGAGAAAATAAATTTAGTGATTATACTAATATACAAACCGCCAGATGCAACGGCTGAGGAATTCACAGAACAGATAAGCAAAATAGAGAATAGCTTTGATAATTTGGAGAACCCGATACCTGATATTATCTTCCTAGGTGACTTCAACTTGCCTAGTCTCAGGTGGAAAAAAGCAAACAATAATATTATACCAGGAAATCTATCAGGACCTAACCAACCACAGATTAGAGAACTACTTAGATTCTGTGACAAATTTTCACTCAATCAGCAGATATCGGAGCCAACGAGAAATGAAAATATTCTAGATCTGGTCTTTACGAACAATGAAGACATTATCAGAGACATTACGATATCAGATACCACATATTCAGATCACAAGCTCATTGAAGTGCAAACGACCATCAATACTCAGAATAGACCTAAAACGTTGATAAAGCGAGAGGGGCTATTCAGTAAATTCAATTTTAATAATAAAAGGATAGACTGGGAGATAATAAACAGGGAACTTACAAACATTCCATGGGGAACTGTTCTAAGTAATACAAGTCCTACAGAAGGAATAGAAAAACTGACTTCAGAAGCGTATCAAGTCTGTCTGAAACATGTTCCTTTGAGGAAAGCCAGAAAGAGATCTAACGTAGAAAGAGAACGCAGACGACACTATAAACGCAGGAAAAAAATAACGGAATTGCTTATGCAGACACGAATTTCCCGTCAAAGAAGGAATAATTTAAATAGGGAGATTGAAGAAATCGAGCGGATATTGAAACACTCATATGAAACTGAAGAAAGGCAGTTAGAACAGAAAGCCATTCAGGAAATAAAGAAAAATCCAAAATATTTCTTCTCATATGCGAAATCAAAAGCAAAAACCACTGCCAGTATTGGACCTATTCGTACAAGTGAAGGTTCATACACGGAGGATGACAAAGAAATTAGTGAAATCCTAAAAAAGCAGTAGGAGGACATGTTTAGCACTCCAATAAACAACATGAAGGTGGAAGATCCATACAATTTCTTTATGCGGGATATTCAAACCCCTGTAAATATAACTGATATAAACACGAGCGCACTAAATTTTGAAAAAGAAATTGAAAACATGCCCATGCACTCGGCCCCAGGTCCAGACTCATGGAATTCAATATTTATAAAGAAATGCAAAGTGCCGGTAGCACAGGCACTCAGTATAGTGTGGAGGAAGAGCTTGGACACGGGGGAGATACCAGATGCACTTAAAGTAGCAGACATAGCCCCTCTACACAAGGGAGGGAGCAAAGCATTGGCAAAAAAATTATAGACCAGTTGCACTAACATCGCACATCATAAAAGTATTTGAGAGAGTGATTAGGAGTCAGGTCACCAATTTCATGGAGACCAATGACCTTCACAACCCAGGCCAACATGGATTTCGAGCGGGAAGATCGTGCCTCTCACAGCTACTTGAGCACTACGACAAAGTCACTGAGGCATTAGAAGAGAAACAGAATGCTGATGTGATATACACGGACTTCGCAAAGGCTTTCGATAAATGTGACCATGGCGTGATAGCACACAAAATGAAGTCAATGGGAATAACCGGTAAAGTAGGACGCTGGATACTCGGTTTTCTGTCAAACAGGACTCAGCGAGTAACTGTCAACCATATACAATCTAGTCCAAGTGCAGTGAAAAGCTCTGTACCTCAGGGTACAGTCCTTGCACCGCTGCTTTTCCTTATTCTCATATCAGATATAGACAAAAATACAAGTCACAGCTTCGTATCATCCTTTGCAGATGACACAAAAATCAGTATGAAAATTACCTCGGCTGAGGACATTGAAAAACTTCAAGCTGATATTAATAAAGTTTTCGACTGGGCATCAGAAAATAACATGATTTTTAACAGTGATAAATTCCAGGTACTCAGGTACGGTAAAAATGAGGACCTTAAACATAATACAGAGTACAAAACACAATCAAATGTACCCATAGTAGGAAAACAGCATGTAAAGGATTTGGGAATAATAATGTCTGACGACCTAACGTTTAAGGAGCATAACCAAGCAAATATTGCGACAGCCAGAAAAATGATAGGATGGATTACGAGAACTTTCAAATCCAGGGATCCCATCACAATGGTTGTACTCTTCAAGTCACTTGTGTTGTCCCGTCTTGAGTACTGTTCAGTACTCACTTCCCCCTTCAGAGCAGGAGAGATTGCTGAAATAGAGGAAATACAGAGAACATATACGGCACGCATAGATGCAATAAAGCACCTAAATTATTGGGATCGTCTCAAAGCCCTCCAAATGTACTCACTAGAAAGAAGACGAGAGAGATATCAAATAATATACACCTAGAAGATACTGGAGGGCCAAGTACCAAATCTACACAGTAAAATAACAACGTACTGGAGTAAACGATATGGAAGAAAATGTAGAATAGAACCAGTGAAGAGCAGAGGTGCCATAGGCACAATCAGAGAACACTGTATAAACATCAGAGGTCCGCGGTTGTTCAACGTCCTCCCAGCAAGCATAAGAAATACTGCCGGAACAACCGTGGACATTTTCAAGAGGAAACTAGATTTATTCCTCCAAGGAGTGCCGGACCAACCGGGCTGTGGTGGGTATGTGGGCCTGCGGGCCGCTCCAAGCAACAGCCTGGTGGACCAAACTCTCACAAGTCAAGCCTGGCCTCGGGCCGGGCTTGGGGAGTAGAAGAACTCCCAGAACCCCATCAACCAGGTATCAGGTAACCAGGTATCTTACTGTGAGGTGTAGTCACCGTATATAAGCCAGCGATTTGAGAATAGCAAACCAGTACAATCTCCAGTCAAGAATGTAGTACTCGGCGTAGGCAGTTCTAATCGACCCAAGACGCTACAGCTTCCACACAGAGCAGACAGCAGACTACGACCGCATCGAGACGCCAGGTACGCTCTTGCTCCCCGAGTTCAGACACTCACAATTCCCAATTGAGCCGCCACACTCTCCCACATAGAGCTCCGCGACTCCGGCCTCACTCAGCTCTCTGCTCTGCTCCAGGCTTCGTCTCAACGTCTACGACACTACTGTATCCAGGACTACTAAATAAATATGAAACTCACTAAACACTGTGTATCTAATCAACCCAACAACGTAACATAATCGTACGTTACACCACCAAGACCCACCTACCCCACGCACCTCTTGGCCAAGCCGGCGCCGGACACCGTCACTCCGCCAGAAGAACCAGCCAGGAAACGTAAAAAAATATATATATCAACAATCCCGTGACCCAAGTCGATATGTGCGCCAGGCCTCGTACAACCGGACCGTTTGAATAGGAATGTCAAACGGCAGTAGCAAAGCCAAAACGCGAAAACAGAACGTGATCAGGCAATCCCCACGCGGAGGAGGTGACCAGACGTCCCCTCGTCGTCAAGGTTGAACCAGGAGTCCATCGTGGAGTTGTGTCTTCATGGCGGCGAAGTTTGTTGTTGTTGTGTTGATTTAGGGGCGACGACGATCGTGGGAGCGGAGTTTGTTTACAACACTCGTCGTCTCAGCGTCTCGACACAGTGATCCACCCTAAGACTGGACATAGGTTGTCCCGCCTGTTTTAAGAATCGATTTATACAGAAGTTAACCAAACTTATTTGGCTAAACAAGTATTTGTTGAGTATATGCATTTATTTTGGCAAATTACAATAATATGCGTTCCCTCTGTTATGTCTAACAGTAGCTGTTAGATGTAATTACATATGGATTCATTAGGGAGAGGGGCCTCTCTGGGGTGTTGCTCATAAAATGGTTGATTTATGATGAGTACATTCTCTGTCTCGAGAGAGCTTGACTTATTCTAAAAATAGTTTATGCCTGGCCCATGTTGTTTCATAGACCATTACTGAAACATGTTAAGCTGTAACGGTGGAAAATATTTTCTACACAGTGACCGAGTGTATGGGTAGTGAGCGAGTGTATGGGTAGTGAGCGAGTGTATGGGTAGTGAGCGAATGTATGGGTAGTGAGCGAGTGTATGGGTAGTGAGCGAGTGTATGGGTAGTGAGCGAGTGTATGGGTAGTGAGCGAGTGTATGGGTAGTGAGCGAGTGTATGGGTAGTGAGCGAGTGTATGGGTAGTGAGCGAGTGTATGGGTAGTGAGCGAATGTATGGGTAGTGAGCGAGTGTATGGGTAGTGAGCGAGTGTATGGGTAGTGAGCGAGTGTATGGGTAGTGAGTGAATGTATGGGTAGTGAGCGAGTGTATGGGTAGTGATTGAGTGTATGGGTAGTGAGCGAGTGTATGGGTAGTGATTGAGTGTATGGGTAGTGAGTGAGTGTATGGGTATTGAGTGAGTGTATGGGTAGTGAGTGAGTGTATGGATAGTGAGCGAGTGTATGTGTAGTGAGTGAGTGTATGTGTAGTGAGCGATTATACAGTATTGAGACGGCAGTGGGGTGCTCACTCCTCACTTCACTTCGATCTGGGACAGTTGATATTAACTTTTGAATGGAAAATTTTCAGAATAATACATAAAATATTTTGTTTGCATGCTACAATAATGAATTTACTATTGTTTGCAGCACTAGAGTATCGCGTGTTTTGGAGTGATGATGGAGCAGTGTGGTGGGAGGTGGAAGCCTCCATCTACAGTGTGGTGGAGGGAGGCATGGAGGCCCAGGTACAAGTAATGCCTCCCCGGTGTGGAGATCTCGTGTACTACAGGGTGAGGGCACGAGATACTCGCCTACAGGAGGGCGCGGAGTCTAACTTGGCAGCTGTCATTACTTCCTGTGGGTTCACCTCAACTCTTCCTCCGACGGAAGCTCCGTTGGATCATTGCCCCTCAACTGTGGCTGCCATATGTGGAGCATTCTTCGGGGGCTTGGCCTCTGGGCTTGTCCTTGCAGCCTTCATTTACTTCCTCTACTTCACATATTCAAATAGGGATGTTGGCAGTGGTGATGTGATACATCACCAGGCAATCAATAGGAGTCAGGCCAGCGCCGCTGCCATCTATGAGAACGCTGCCTTCACCACCAATGACTCAAGGAGTGTTCAGAACACTTACACAGCCACCCCCACCACGCTAGCAAGTAAAAACCCTATCAATGCAGCACGCACGCCGAACCAGAACCGCTCACTGCCTCCGATTCCTCTCCGCAAACCCGTCCCAAAAGAGCGTCAGCTTCCTATAAAACCATCAGTGGAGATCACTAAGACAGCTGCAGGTCAGAGCGGGCCTCAGCGTCCCAAGAAACTCACGAGACTCCCAGGCAACACAACAACGCCCGAGGTTACCCAAGAATGTTCTGGTTATGAAGAGAATGAAGACACAGTGTCACAGTCGTCCGAACAGATATACGACACTGCTTACTCCTAATTTCTCAGTGTTAATTCAACTGAAGGATGTTTGCAAATACTTATAGACAAATCTAACACTGAAGAAGGTCTTTCTGACACCTTTCTCTTTGTCTCATGACTCAATTTATTACTTGTGTTTTCTTATTCTACTTTTACTGCATCTGAAGATTTCTTCTTTATCTGCTTTGTCAAATTATTTGAAATTTATATTTCGCTGTCATATAAATTGTCTTCCACACTTCCCTGGAAATACATTCCATTCTCCAGGGCTCCTAGAGACTCGAACCGCGGACCCCACGCGTGTGAGTCCGGAGCTCTCACTTGAGCTTTGACCTCACACGCGTGGAGTCCATGGTTCGAGTCTCCTAGAGCCCAGGTGAACAGAATGTCGTTATCATGTCCACCCCCACCCCTCTCCTCTTCATTTATTTGGTCCTTTTCTAGTTTTTTCTTGTGCTTGTTCAGGTGAGGTATCCATACTGTGCTGCATGTTCAAGATTGGGTCTGATGTAGGTTGTACATATGACCCAGAAGGATCTTTTCTTCAGGATTCTGAAGGCTAAACGATCATTAGCCAATTTGCCATTTACGCTGATGTTATTCTGATAACATTTATTTCTAGTATTAGATGTATTGTGTCCATTCTAAATTCTTTCACCTTTTCTTTTACAAGAATCTGTCTTCCCTTCATTGTGATCATCTCTGGAGATTGTCAACAGCCTTTCGCGGGGTATCACATTACTCGCTACAAACACTGAAACATGAAGGAGGAAATGTTCTATATCAGGCTACTGAGGTCCACTATAAACAGGATGGGCACCGCCCCCTATTGAACTGCATTTGTTACCTCTCCTCACCCTGACATCTCCGCGCTCACTCTAACACTTTGCTTCCAACAGGAGAGACACTCATTCTTTCATATGAGCGCTCTTCCAGATACACCAGCCTGCTTATACAGCGTGAGGAGGAGTTTCAAGTGTAGTGCAGAAACACTTGCTTTCCGATAGTCGAGGAAAATGCAGTCTGTCCATCCCTCTGCTTCTTCTTTGCTTCCTTCATCTAATTGGAGAATTTTAAAAAGTTTATCATGTAGGATCTTAATTCACTAAATCCATGTTGATGTTTAGTGACAAAATTTAGCTGTTGTAAGTGAGCTACTAGTCTGCTTGGATCAGTCTCTCTAATAACTTGCAAGGGAATATTTGCTATTCTCTTCTACATCAGCTCATGTCTTCCTTCTGATTTATACATTGAAACACTAACCATTTTTCAATTGTGTAGAAGTCCTCCATTTTTACTGAAGAAGAGTTAAATACTACAGAATGGGGGACTGCAATGTTTCCTCCGTCTCCTTTAGTTTCAAAGTGATATATTGTCAGGGAATGCCACTTTAGTTGTATCTAGTTTCTCTAGGTGTTTCCTTACTTTTGATGTTAATACCATTGCGGTAAGTACTTTCTGTGGGGGTGTTCTGTTCTGCTGGGGCTTTTAACCCCAGTGACAGGTTAGATTTCAGGTTCAGAACTTCCTGAAATGTTTTGTTGAGTAATTCGACACATTATTTTCTGTGTGATCTCCCTTTACTTTGTGTAGCCTAATAACCTAATTATTATTATTATTATTATTATTATTATTATTATTATTATTATTATTATTATTATTATTATTATTATTATTATTATTATTTTACACATATCAGATTCGGAGTTCTCCCATCTAGCAACTCACCTCAGGGCTTACTCAATAAGTCTTCCCTCAAACACGTCTTGCCAATCGGTTTACACAACAATTATTGCTTGGTTAACAGAGACAAGCAGTTAAGGAACAATATCAAGTGCTATTTCCTGCTCAGTGCACGAGCGCAACTGGTATTCTTTGCAAGGCTTGGAGTGTGCTACTGCTACACCGAAATCAATGGCATTTTTCATTTTGTGTAGCTGAAAAGCTGTTCAGGCTGGAACTTAATCTTTGGTGCGTCATTCTCGTACTGCTTATCCCTATGAAAACATTTTGATTTCCTTTAACATGTTTTTCTTTCTCTTAGTTTTTTCCATGATTCTTTACTTTTTCTCTTTAACTTCAGGGACTGCTTGTGTCATACCATGGAGTGATGCTTTGCTTGGTTCTCTTATCCCTATGAAGGAAGTACGATCCTTCCTTAATCTTCCTTGTTGAAGCTTTAAATTCTCTTTCTCGTGCTATTCTCTTCAGGAAATCTCAGACCGTTTGGTTTTTCACTTTTTAGTATGTTATCCTTACGTTCTCCTCGTTTCTTCCTCTTTCAGTAGATCAGTGATGGAATCAGAGTTTGTCTCCTGTGGATTCCTTCCAATATTGGTCTCCAAATGCATGTTTGAACTGATGAGTTAGCCTAAACATTTGCTCGTAAAGAGGGGATTGATTACCAACTTGGACTGCCTTTGAGCAGCCTGAGGGCAGTAATATTCCGGGAACATCAACAAAATCTAGTAGATTTGAGACAAAGAAAAATTCACACCAATTATTCCATCTATCATCGTTATATTATGCAGGAAGAACCGCACGTCTATGGGTCATCCAATAAGGTTATCAGACTTCTAGATGTTACCACTGCTAGGCTTTGACTCGGCTATAAGTACCTCTAGGAGTTTGCAACATCTGCTGATGTAGACTTGACTAAAAGTAAACTCTGTCAGCAGAACTATTCGCATACCTTGCGAATCGCGGAATTCGGATATAACACCATAAATTGTGTCCAAGAAATGTGTAAGTACTTCATTTATAAAGATGTACTGCCAGGAATCTTAGCGAAGTATTCCAAATGTGCTTACTGTAGGTGCAGCCTGCAAATGACTGTAAAGCTACCGCCCAGTTGGGTGGGTGTGGATCAAGACTACTAACTGTGTGACTCACCATAGATGTAAAGTGCCTTGTATAGTGACTTTTTGAGCCTCTTGTTGAATCACTTGTGATATAAAAAGATTATTGATACGTATATGTTTATGTGTATGTGATATAACAATTGTGTAACTAGCTTCACAAGATTGTCACCTGCTTACCTAAATGAATTATGGGGTTCAGTTCCTGAACTCATTAAGTGCCTCTGTAACCCTTTCTACCACCGCCCACGAAATGGGTATGTGGTGCATAATAAAGAAATAAAATGAAAATATAGCCTTCATTACCATTACGCAACCGATGGTTAAAACACAATGGTTACTGACTCACTTGACCTTTCGTGTTTAATATTTTCAATTTCCATCTCATTCTGCATTAAGACAAGTTCTACCCTAACTGGTTCAGCATCAATTGTTATTTCCCTTCCTGGTCTGACACGTTACATTAGAGAGCACGTTTCTACCGCTCCCACACATTTAGTTCTCCGTCGTTTCTCTCTTCAGTCTGTTGCTTCCCAGTCAACATGGCCGTGACACATGGCCGTGACACATGGCGTCACTAAAGTCTCGCATCAGAAGCATCTTTCTTCTCAGTCAGTGTCTCACCTGTTGTTGGATACATATACTTGCCTCTCCCTACTCTTATATTCTGGATCCTATCTTCTGTGCTTTTCTGGGGAAAGATAAATGCGGATGTACATTATGTGTTTGTTATGTGTGTGTACTCACGAGTGATTGCTAGAATAATATAACTTACAGTGTCGGGTTTCAACTGGTTCCCGACTTTCCAACTGTCGATCGTCAAACAATATGATTCCAACCTGTTTTTTGTGATCATATCTGCCCTGAACCGTGTCACCCCTACGACAAGTTGTCATATCTCCCCTGATCCGTGTCACCTCTACGACAAGTTACATTTGAAACATTTTCTATATTCTCTCAACCTGTTTAGTGCTCCAAGATTCTATATTTTCTTGGAAATCTATAATTTCCCATTAAATTTCTGCCAGGCTGAAGTGAAGTAAAGATTCAAGTCATAGGGGAAAGGGAAGGCCCTATGACGAATCTTTACTCTTGTTGTAATGTCAACATCTGTCAATCTTTGTATTAATCATGTCTATATTGTTGCTGCCTCATACTCTTGTCTTTGTCAACTGCTAATTGCTGGTGAGTTGTATATAACTACAACCACATCTTTCAAGTTACTTGAGGTTGCTGTCCTTGTTGTGTAGACCATGCCCGTGTTGAAGTTTGGAACCGTATATTCCTGAAAATCCCTGAATCTCATATAAAAAGACCCACAACACCTCTCCACCTCTTCTAAATCTTTCCTTCCTCATAATTTGGTACTGCTTGGAAGCTTTGCATCTCTCATCACTTGTTAGGATTGACGAAACCTTTGTTATGTAAAGGTGAGTTTTGGGCAGTGGTCGGAGTAGAAGGATAGAGGCTAGAGTGGTTGGAAGGGGTTGACGTCGAGAACGGTAATGAGTGTGTGGGGTGTGGGCTGAGAAAGGTGATCTGAGGTATGGGTGAGGGCTGAGAGAGGTGCTCTGAGGTCTGAAGGGTGAAGGATGAGAGAGGTGCTCTGAGGTCTGAAGGGTGAAGGATGAGAGAGGTGCTCTGAGGTCTGAAGGGTGAAGGTTGAGAGAGGTGCTCTGAGGTCTGAAGGGTGAAGGATGAGAGAGGTGCTCTGAGGTCTGAAGGGTGAAGGTTGAGAGAGGTGCTCTGAGATCTGAAGGGTGAAGGATGAGAGAGGTGCTCTGAGGTCTGAAGGGTGAAGGCTGAGAGAGGTGCTCTGAGGTCTGAAGGGTGAAGGATGAGAGAGGTGCTCTGAGGTATGGGTAAGAATGGGCAAGGTTTTGGGTAGAGGGGGGAAGAAGAGTGGTAGCGGGTCATTGGAACTATCTGGAGGAGTCAGTGGGAGGAGTGGCTGTGTGTGGAGTGTAATAGTTGGGGTAACCATAAACCCCAACATCCATGGTGTTGGGTTTTGTAAATATAGTAATGCCTCTCATGTTGAGAACTGAGGGTTGAGAAGCTGAGAGGGATTGGTGGAAAAGGGAAAATTGAGTGGTAGTGGTTACAGGATTAACGCTGGGAGGTGAATGCTGGATTGATAGGAGAGGTCGATCTTTGTCTGGGAAGGAGAAATTGAGGTATGGGTCGGAAATGTAGGGGAACAGAGGGGGGTCTATTGGAGAATGGAGGTTCCACAAGGCTCCGTTATTGCACCAACACTCTACATAAGTGACATACGCGACCCTCTACACCCAAAATCTCACACTATGCTGCGCTCACGACGTGACACAACGCATCGTTGATTTGTCAAGACTAACACAACGACAACAAATAGACAACATAACAACATGGAGTACGACTGGCGAATACAGACGAATCACACAAAATCCAACATCACATACTTCTACATGAAACGCGCTAACACAATACCAGTCATACTCTACTCGCAGTCACCAACTCTGACATATATCCATGTCACCAAAAACACCACAGTACTTGGCCTAAATCTCGACAATAACCTACGAATACACTCACAGCACACACAAACACGCCATAGCAGAAAAATCCATCCTTCAACTATAGACTCAAACAAGCACACCCACGTACCAAGCTACACCTGTATAAAGCCATAATTCGCCCTCACATAACATACGCACCAATCCCCCCCTAATACTTGCAGCCAACACAAACAAAACAAAGCTCCAACGAATTCAGAACAAAGCTCTGAGATGGTTATACAACAACCGATTGGACGACTTCGTCACGCATGAGAGCCCGCACCTCAGAGTTGTTGTTGTTGTTGTTTTAATCAGCTACTCAACAAAACGTTCCAAGTAACACAGGTGAGCCCATAAATGGAGGCTCTTTGGAGCCACTATCTGTATCAATAACTAATACTGGAGATCTGGGGATGGGGTCAGGTGGCACGGGCATGAATAGGCCGTAAGCGGAGGCTCTTTCGAGCCATTACCAGTACCAATAGCTGATACTAGAGATTTGTGGATGGATGGGGGTCTCCATGGTGGATTCCGGCCTCGAGGGGCTGGCTGTACCAGTTATAATGCTGATGGGATGATGATTGATTGATGAAGATTAAGCCACCCAAAAGGTGGCACGGGCATGAATAGCCCGTAAGTGGTGGCCCTTTTGAGCCATCACCAGTATCAATAGATGATACTGGAGATCTGTGGAGGTGCAACTACACCCTGCGTGACTGAAGATATCTCCCGTGGCTGATGGGATAGATTTTCCGTTTTATCTTTGGCTGAGCCGTACTGTCGTTGGAGTCTGGTGATGGTGTTTCCATGAGGAGGTCTTGTACCGAGTCTCGTATTTGTGCTGAGGCGGTGAAGCTCCTACTAAGATTTCCTCGTCTGCGGTGTTCGTTTTATCCGTAGTTGTTGGTTTTGTCTTTGGTCTCACAGCCTGAGGTAGGCTCAGGTGTCGTGGATTATTGGTAGAAGCTATATGAGGAGCGTTGGTGGTGCTGTTAGTATTTGTAGACAGCACGTCTGTTAGCGTGTCTGCTAAGATGGTGATGGTTGGAGTGTTGGGAGCTGGAGAGGGAAATACCTCTGTTTGTGCCGCCCAGGTATTGAATGGTTCTGGATGGTTTAAGTGCTGTCAGAACCACAATTTAGAACAGAATTTGTTGAGATCGACGTCATGTCGTCCTGTCGGTAGTCTCCGGAGTGGAAGTGGAGGGACGAGCACCTGGGGCTCTGGCTGCGGAGATAGAAGGGTTGTTTCTCTTGTCTTCAACCTGAGCCTTGATGTTTGTCTGTCTGGAGGGGGTTCTGGGGTTCCTAGCAGTGGTAGGAAATTGCGGAATGATTGCCATCGCAGAGCAGGCAGCGATGGGTTGTTGCTTTGCATATGGAGTAGTGATGGTACAGTGTGCACAGGCTGCACTTCTGGACGGGTGCTGACACTTGTTGGTGGGGTGGGAGAGCTCGTAACATGTGAGGCACTGCTGGGGCTCATGGTCGGCCGAGCGGACAGCACGCTGGACTTGTGATCCTGTGGTCCTGGGTTCGATCCCAGACGCCGGCGAGAAACAATGGGCAGGGTTTCTTTCACCCTATGCCCCTGTTACCTAGCAGTAAAATAGGTACCAGGGTGTTAGTCAGCTCTCACGGGCTGCTTCCTGGGGGTGGAGGCCTGGTCGAGGACCGGGCCGCGGGGACACTAAAAGCCCCAAAATCATCTCAAGATAACCTCAAGATAACCTCGGTCAGCGATCCATTGGCTGATCCTGCTATTAGAAACAATTCTTCCGGCCAGGAACTGACGTGGAAAGTGCAGATATAGGTGGCGCTCCTTTTGAAGTTTTGCCTCGTTGTTCAAGAGTTTTTCTAGTTCTTCCTTACATGAAAAGAAGAGCACGATATCATCACCTTCCTGACTAATGTCAGTGAATGTGACGCCGGTAACGACCTTCAGGACCTTCAGAATATCGCTTTTCCCGAAAGCATGACCGTCAAGGGGGTAGCTCTAAACTTTAGACGTTTGAGTAGCATTGTGTCCACACCCCTCAATGGGTCGCAGTGTGTGTGAAGTGTGATGTTGACTGTAGACGTAGTTATATCTATATGCTATATATATATCGGTTATATAAACTACGTCTAGGTTATAGATGCAACTGAGAGATTGGTGAACCCAAACAGACGGAACGCATCTTCTGCCAAACAATCACAGGAAAGCCACTACTTCACTATCTTCTAGAACGTCAAACAACCAACGACCTTAGAAGAGTTTTAGTTCCTGAATCTTGCAGTAACCGCCCAGAAGCCATCAACACTGCCACTCATCGTCAAAAAAAGGTGTCCAGCAGGTGGACAACCTCATAAATACAGTCAAGCCGTATCCTCAACTGCTATAGCAGCCTGACGATTTAAATGCGACCGCAGCACACAGAAAAACAGTCATTCCAAAATAATAATAATAATAATAATAATA